ACCACAGCTGAAACATCTAGGTTCCTGGTGCCTTCGTGGTTTCCTGAGGAAGGCTCTTCCTACCCATGGTTCTGGTTCATGGTAGTAGTAACCTCTACCCTCTTGGTTCCTATGTTGACCTCTTCAAGGTGCTTCTTCTTCCCAAGCCCTTGCATCCTCACCTCTAGAACTTTTAATCTCCTGTTGCCTTTTTAAACCTTTCGAGATGGCTTCTCCTACCCAATCTCCAGTATCTTGCACGTTATAGTCAATGTGGGCTGAATGCAATACCCATTCTTCTAGCGGAGCTGATCTGATCTTTAAAGGCAAAAGTATTCTTTTGCATATTGGGTTTGCATTTTCATAAGCTATTGCATATATAATTGATTGTCTTATTTCTGGATCTGTTAACTGTAATTCTACTGCCCTAGTTAACCTTTGTAAGAAGTCCTGGAACTGTTCTGTAGGTCCCTGTTCTATTCTGGTATAAGTTTCTAGGCATTCTCTTTGCTCACGAACCTTACCCCAGGCATTTAATGCTGCATTCCTGCATAAGGACAGTATATGGTCATCATACTCAGTCTGAGCCTGTGGGATAGCAAAAATACCCTCACCAAGAATCTTATCTAGGAGGGCTTCAAAACCTTCCTTTATGCCTTGACACTCAAGGAGCTTCTCCCATTCCCTGACCAATGCCTTTCACTGGATTTGGCATGAATTCTCAAGTACAGCTGCTACCAATCATTCCCAATCTGTGGGTGTCACCCTGTTAAAGGTTGCCCTTAAATGTAGTAGCTGTTTTATGTATGACTATAGAGACCATATGAGACAACTGATTCTTTAATATTCTTAAGATCCTTCAGCTGTATAGGTTGCCATTCATAAGCCTTCCATCCATGAGGGTGTTTCTTAGAAGCTGGCTTTTCTACCATGGTAGCTGGGTACACTAATGGTGTACGAGTAACAACCTTAGAGGAATAGTCATGATACCTGGGTGGAGTAGGTGCCCCAGATTGGAGTGATTCTGCCTCTGAGGCATCCCAATGATCTTTAAGCCTAGTAATGATATCTTTTTGAAAACTTTTTGAAAAATTTCAATCTCCTTAATCAT